TGTTAAGTAAATTCCCAACAGAGAGGATTGGAATGGGAGAGTATGAGGAGATTTTGAGAAGAGGGTTTGCACTGAATTGGTCAATCATCGATGACTGCGGGAGATGTGAGAGATCTGGCGGCCGATGTGGCTTTAACACCACTACTTTCAGGTTCCGTTGCTTCTGCCTTGACGGACCCAGTTCGAGTTGCAGACCACGACGTATAGTTCCAGGTATGTTAATTTCTTTTTTTGTCGCTTTCGATTTATGGAATGTGATAATTGAAAAATTAAATTTGATAAAAGTTTCTTGGGACATGTTTACTGTTCACACTGACGAATACGATTTTAAGGATGTTTTCTTAGTTCCATTGAACAATCTTGCTATCGTATACGTCAAATTTGATATTGTTATGAGATGATACTTTAAGCTCTTGTTTGACACTCATTTTGGACAAGAATGTAATTTGGAATAGTGAATGATGGAAGAATGTGTGGTTAAAAAATAAGGAGAATTTTTGGGTTTATGTGTAATATTATTTTATTGATAGAATGTATAGTTAAAATGAAGAAAATGAAAAAAAAAAATGAATGTCAAACAAGGGCTAAATAATTAATGGTTCAAATTTTGATGCACAATGAACTGTCAAAATTGTACCTAGGAGTATTAATTCTCCGTCAAATATGCAAACAGGGTATGTTGACAGAACATGTAATGTGACCTTAGCTGCCTAAATCTTTTCTTCTGTGTTACGTAAGACAACCATGCTACAAGTACATGAAGTTTTACATGGTTCCACGTGTCGCAACATGATTGACCACTTTGAAAGTAAAAAACAGTTTCCCTCCATTCACTTTTGAATTTACAAAGCCATGTTAAGGACCATGTACAAAAACCATGTACAAATGGTTTAATTCTACGTCAGATTGGATAAATTCAAGAAATAATGTGCATACGTATTTTTTTTATATGTTTGAACAAAAAAGTAGGGAAAATTGTAACAACGGTCCTAAATTTTTGAGTTTTTAGCAGACTTTACTCTAATCTTCAATTTATGTTAATGGAGGTCTCAAACCTTCGAGAAATTAGTAGCTGGAGTCCAATTGGGTAGAAACCATCTATTTGACTTTTAATTGACCAAGAAAAATGAACTTTGACCAATTTTAAGTAAATTGAAAAGGGTAAAATAGTAATTTTAAATTTCCCTATTATAAACAACTAAAAGAATAAATCAACAAAAAAAAAAAAAGAGAGAAAAAAGAAAAAAAAGTTAAGAATTGAATCTTCTTCCCTAGTCTTACCAACCCTACCCCAACCTCCACGATCAAAATTAAACCACGAAAAAACACCTTCCACTATCGGCCGACCATCACCCCACCATTCGCCGCCATCGCAGCCACCACGTGAAATCGCCAATCGCCACCATACCAAAATTCCGCGAATTCATTCTTTCAAAACCTTCAATTTCCCGTGTTTAATCCTGATTCGAAAACACATTTCCAAATTCTCAATTTTTTTCCCTTACCCAGAATCCACAGCTTGCACAACGAATTTTTGAGGGAGTCTACTTCTAGGATTAATTTGTTACAGAATGTAGAGTGGTGATCAGAACTATCACCCTTGACCCTTCTCTTCTTTCCCTACTTTCTCACCTCAAAAAACGTTTCTTGTACAAATGCTACACCCAAACAAAAATCCCATTTCCAAATTTTTTCTCAATGATCTATTCAAAACTCTATTTTGGAAGAGCCGGTTTTCATTGAAACCTAGCTTTATTTGGCTTACTCAATGGCAAACTCAATAATTTGACGAGTTTAAGAAGTTTTAGGGCTAGACATGGTCCGATCTGGTTCGGTTCTCTTCAGAATCGAACAGAATCAAAATTTTCGGGTATTTAATAAATGGAACCGTTTGAATTCGGTTTCATTCAATTCAATTAAGCTCTATTCGGTTCCGTACCATAATTAATTTTTTTAACAGATTCTAATGGACAACGATCAGTGGTCGTGGTTGGAGGTCGCGGCTTCGATAGGTAGTTGGAGATGGAAATTCGGACTCGACTGTCAGCTATTTCGATTTGGGCATGTAAATGTAGGTTTTCAATTTATCAAATGATTTTGGGTAAATGACTCAGTGGTTATCGAATGAAAGTGTGAAATTGGAAAGGGAAGGATAAAAACTTAAAAATGCCTAGATCTTGGGCTAAGAATGAAATTAATAATAAGACCAGAAAATTAAATCAAAAAATTGAAGTGGAAATTACGTCGTACCAGAATTTTAAACTTTCAATTTCAAAATTTAGATTTTCAAGTTTTTATTTCAAAAATCAGATGATAATTAAAATTTTAAAATATTAATAATGATATTACAAAATTAAATATACATCTTCATTGTACCCAACAACACCCGGAAAAACCCTAATTATATCATTTTTCCATTCTCCCCTCTCTCTCTCTCTCTCTCTCTCTGTAATCGTCTCCTCCACTCTCTCTCTTCTCTCTCGATCCCACTCTCTCTACTTTTCCTCACCGTGGTGCAGATGAGAACACGTCGGAGCACCGCACTCCAGCGATCTGTCCTTGCAGCAATCTACGATGAACCCATGGTAGTGGCGGCGGTTCAATGGTGTTGGTGGCGCTTGTGTGTTGTCGCATTGAGGGGCTTTGTTGGTGGTGGTAGCGGTATGTCTATATAGGGTGGGTTGTGTTGATGGCGGTGTGGTACGAGTTGGTGGCGGCGGCGTAGATGTCTGGGCTAAATTCAATGGATACGGTTGAGGTCAGGAACTTGAAGGTGATGAATAGGGTTTTGAGGTTAATTGGGTATTTTGTGGTAGTAGACTCTAGATTGTGAGTTGGGTCATGTACTGAGTGTAAATGGGTAATTATGGAGTACTGTAATTGTGCTGCGTGGTGGTGGATCTGTGGTGGGCGTAATGGTCTGTGAGATTTGCGAGAAGCGAAGCAAATCTATGAGATGAGACGACGGTTGTTCTTTGGTCGTGTGCAGTGATTTTGTTGGTGGCGGTGGTGGTGGATCTTGGTGTTGGTGGCGATGGGCATGTCGAGGTGGTGGTGGATCGGTGCGAGGATGTGGTGGTGTTTTCTACGATGTGTTGATTTGTTTGATGTAGTGTTGCGTCAGGAGTTGGTGGTGGTGGTGGTGGTTCTGATGACGACGGTTGCAGTGGTGCTGCCAGATGGAGTGGTGAAGTGGTGGTCACAGTTGGTGGTGGTCACAGATTATTTAGTCGATTGTGACCATTAAATTGGTTAATCCGTGACCAATAAACAATGTGTGACCAATGAAAAAGATAATCTGTAACAAAAAAATAATGTGTGACCTAAAAAATGGTTAATTTGTTATCGATAATTTGACAATTTGTGACCATATACTAAGCTGTGACTTATAATAATTGTGATTTGTGACCCATAAATAAATTGTGACGTTTATATTTTTGATTTGTGACCGATAAACAAATTGTGACCTATAAAATTTTTGAATTGTGATCGTAAAATAATTTGTGACCTATAAAATTTGTAATTTGTGATCAATGAATAATATGTGACATATAATATTTCTAATTTGTGATCGATGAACAAATTGTAACATATAAATTTTTTTAATTATGACCATAAAATAATTTGTGATGTTTCAATTATTTTATTTTTTTCATACATTAAAAATTGAAACACTTTGAATATATTTAATTATTGAGTGAGTTTGACTCTCCAAATTTGGAGAGTCAAACCCACTCTCTAAATTAAAATGTTAATTTAAAGAGTTTCTTGGAGTATGATTTTAAATGTTGACTCTATAAAATATAGAGCATCTCATGTTTAAAGAGTCTCTTGAATACACTCTAAGAACTGTAGTTTATTCCCCAATTTTTATATTCCACACGGTCGTTGATATTCTTCCCCAATATCACTTTGATCGACTTTTATTGTAAAAGGTAACATCGGCTTTTGAACATGATTTTTTAATTACTAAATATAGTAATCAAAATTATTTAATAAGATGTTTTTTAGATGATAATTTCTATTTCATCAATTTAGCTATTTCTCAACATATGTATTTTATATTTAGCCTTTGTTTGGTCCCATTATTTTCAAAATACATTTTCATTTGTCTTATTTTTAACTACACATTTTCAATAAAATAATATTACACGTTAATCCAAACATTTTTCTAATTTTTTAACCACATATTTAAAATCAAAATATTGTTCCAAAATGCATTTTGAGCAAAAAATGGGGAGTCAAACATGCTCTTAATTGCTTTTTCTTGTATTCAAATGAAACTCAACCTTATCCCTAATTTGCTCGTATATATATACATTTTTAGAAAGTAATTATTTGAAATTACTGATTTGGAAGGCCACTTTTGATAAGTAATTTATAAGCCACAGTTCTCATTAGGATCACAGTAATTCAATATCCCTTTATTAATCTTCGCATCAATAGGCGTTGCACATCATCGTATTATTTTTATTAGGATAATTCAAAAGATGTTCAATATCTATCACATTCTATAGCACAGACTAACAAACGATTTCACGTAATTTTTGGATACCTTCATATACACTAACTTGTGGTTTTTAAGCAATATCTTCATTTAATCGAGTCTTGCGATGCTTAAAAAAAAATCTTTTGACAACCACAACTATTATTTTTAATTATAAGTTATACAACGGATTTTTTTTTTTTTTTTTACATAATTAGTAAAAGTATAAAACATTTATAAAATTATAAATATTCATTTATCAAAAAATAAATAACTCCTGTAAAATAATAATTTTTCCTAGTCTCGATTGTGTTACTTTATAGGGGTTTTATTGTAGCGTGTTGCATTGCAACACTAAATATAAATATGCATGACTAAGTCGTTGGTTTTTTAAAGTTTGTCTTTTAGCATTGTAATCTATAGTGGTTAAGTGGTCTCAATTATAATTAGAATCTTAAATCATTTCCAGACTTCAAAGTCTGTTGAATTACATAGTAGTGATTTTCTGTAACAGACAATTGAACAGAAAATCTGTGTGAAATCACATGTTCATGAATCATACATATACCGTAAAGATTTACATGCAGGAGAGAGTATACTGAGAAAAATGAGTTCCCATCTTATTTTTATGAAGTTCTCTTCATCTAACGTGTGTTCTGACTTCTGCTGCAGGAAGGAGTAAATTGAAACTGGTTGTTGCTGCAGGTAAGTCTTGCAAATTTCAGTATCATTTGTTTTGTTTGATTCATAAACGTAGTTATCTTTTTTTCATCACAGGTGCTTCAGCTTCAGCGGTAGTCCTTTTCTCAGTAATCTTGTTCACTTTCAAGAAGAGGAAGTACATGCTGAATTTGAAGAGAAAAAATCAAAACCATAAAGACATTGAACTCTTCCTGAAGAACAATAAGAATCTTGCACCAAGAAGATACAACTACTCTGATCTTAAGAAAATGACTGACTCGTTCAGAGACATGTTAGGGGAAGGGGGCTCTGCTAGCGTGTATAGAGGAAAGTTACCCGATGGCCATCTTGTAGCAGTAAAGATTTTGAAA